CCGTCCCGGCCCCTCCTGCGCACCCGCCCGGACGGCACAGTCCGCGCCGCTGAGCAGGCTTCCCTGGATTACCTTCCGCACGGCCGCCTAACGCGGGGAACGCTCACCTGCAAAGCTCTTTGACGGTGCTCACATCAATGATCCTGTAATGAAGATGCCTCATGAACTGAGGCATGTATTTGTCAAGAAATTTCTTATCTGCATGAACAGAGTTACCTACAAAGACACAAAACAAGATGTTCCTTCAAAGACGTTGCAAAGCTTCCGCGAACGACATCTGAACAAGGGCTAAGCGAGATCACAGGGTGCGAAAAGCCATTCCCGAGCAGCTCGTTTATCCCATTTCCCGGTAAATACGGTGGCAAAGGTTTGTCAGATTTTCCTCGCAGGATCACAGGCGCTTTAAATACGTACTCCCCCTATTAATCCTTCAGCTACTACTCCTGCAGTTTCTGTCACGCAGGCAAGTGTCAAAGCGCGGCAGGAGCATCGGGCTTCCCGCCCAGTGCAAACGGCCTCGGCATTAACTGCGCTCGCTGCACCTCCCCGCACGACGCAGGCTCCGATTTGCGTGCGGGACCTCGGCGTGGTTACCGGGGCAGAACGTGCCTTACCTGCCAGGGGACAGAGACCCGGGGGCGTCTGTTGCCGTACAAAGGACAGGAACTCGTACTCGGCTTGCTGCAGCGAAATTTTGCTCTCCTTCACAGCCTTAGTAAGGCCAGACTGCAAAAAAAGAGCCGCGCGTCACAGATCAGCGACACGCCGCCGCCAAAGACGCTTCCAGAAACGCTCGACGGCCAAAGCTCCGCCCTTCGGGTGCCGTTCGCTCCCCAGCGTGCCCAGAGCACCCCCCGAGCCCGCTGTGTCGGCGATCCGGGTCATCCCCGCCCTGCTCCCGCCGGGCAGGTCCCCGGGCAGGCCCGAGAGACACGCAGGGAACGCCGACGTTCCCCTGGGCGGCTCTGGGGTTTGGGATCCGGGAGAGCAGGACCTTCCTCTCTGTTCCAGGCGGGGCGTTCGCCTCCCCAGCACAGAGCGGTCGGTGTAAATAAACAGAAATGATCAGGATCCTGGCTGAAGCATTTCTCGAGGTTTCTGTGAACTGGAAAAGTTCCTTCTTCCCGACAGCTAAACGCCAAATCTGCTCCGAGCGTTCTCAGTGATTTATTTCCATCTGGCTACGCTATATATTTCCACGCCTGTGCCGCAAAAATCTACTTGACAGATCCAAGTGGTGGTTAAAAAATTCATTATGTGGCTGCATTTTCATCTATATTCTAATTGCTTCTCTTTTCTTAGTCAATTAAAAATAAGTAGCTCCTCAGGAGCCGCGATAACGTATGCCACCATCTTCCATTCGCTGGCGCACTGAAGCCGAGCCCGAGTCCTCAACTGGAGGAGGCGAAAAGCACCCATCACGGTAAATTAATATTCATTTTCCAAACTCTCGCTAATCCTTCCCGGGGAGAGCGAGATGCCAAAGGGGGGAGGAGGGGAGGGGTGATGGGGGTCTTAAAACTTCAGCCCTTAATTGAAAACTAACTTGAATTTCAATTCACAATCAGGGACTGGAAAATCCATTTGCTGTCTTGCTACCGGCAAGGAGGAAGCTTTCTTCGGTGGCTGAAAGAACTGAAACCAATCTCTTGCTGCAAAAGTTCAGCTTTTGGAGAAAAACCACACTAGGCTTACAGCGCTGCGGGGGACAGGCAAAACTATAGCAGTGCGATGCTTACGCTAACTCGCTCTGCTGAATTCTCCAACTATCTGCGCTCGCAGCGCCAAGTCTGCGCCTCCTCGGCTCTGGACGATTCTGCGCTGACCTCGCGCC